GTTTTCCTGTGATGAGGAAGCATTTTGATGAGCTTCGAAAATGAACTTCCCAGCTTTTCCTAGAGCTTCCAAGCACTCCAGCTTGTAGAGGAACTCTCCACCTTTAAAATAAACCCTCCAAATCCCATTTCCATCGAACCAATTGAGAGAACCGTGCTTGCAAAGATTGCTACCTGAGACAGTCACAATACTTGGCCAGAATTCAAGTTTTTCCATAGGAAATGAGATGGCTTCTTGGGCAAGTAACTCAGGCTTAGGGTTTGGGTTGTTTGGGATCATATCAATCCTGACTCTACCCCTGCAAGCTATTCAAACACCTAGATGCAATACACTGTACATGGAAGGAAGAAGAAGCGACAATGGCATAAGCAAAAAGATATTAGAATGAGCAAGACAATGATGAGGTCAATAAATGGCCAAACCCAACCAAAAGGTACAAAAGAAGAACTATTATCATGATTGCCTTTGCCTAATCTCATTTCCCTCCTTATCTCTTTTACAAGTAGGGATGATAATTGAACCTGAATTCATAAGTACCTAATCCGATCCACCCCAATCAAAGAGGTTAAAATCGAGTTTTAATGGAATTTGGGTTGGTGTTGGTTTTAACTGCCTTTGAAATTAGCAGGTTCAATCGGGTTTGGGTTTTGTCAAAACCCAACTCGTGTCCACCCGACCCACATGCATAAAGCAAAAGGACATTTTCTGTACATCTAACCATAATACTGTGACTAATTTACAAGTGTTGTTAATCTTTATGGAACTATAAACATAATAATATGGATAATTTATGGATGTGGCTTGTGAGTAGTCTTTATTGATATACATTCGTAGGAATATTTCGATAAAGTTATGATGTGAGTGTTCAAGAAAATCATGAATAGTTATATACGTGAACATGGGTTACCATTAGGTTGGGTTGGGTTAAGTTTTTCACTTCTAAAATCCAATGAATATTTTATTGGATCTTTTAATGAGTGCACCCGCTGAGTTGGATTTGAGTTTAGAGAAACTCAACCCTGACTCGTTGTCATCCCTACTTACAAGCTTCTTCTAGCTAAAGTGCTACACGTAACAATGTCAGCCCCTTATGGCCCTATGTATATATATGAGTATGACAAAATGCTCTAAGTTCCTACACCTCCTCCTTGAATCCTAATTAGCTAGCTGATCATAAAATGCACTATAAGATCATAAAATGCACTATAAGCAAAGAACGATAAAGGCAAATTGATGCAACACTCAAGCACCTCGCAGCAAGTCCACGATGACGGTTAATAAGAGCATCTGCAATGGCAATGAGATGAAAGTGAAATAATAACTTGCATTGTTGTGGTCTCATTTATAGATGGTGCAAATTTGCGCACCATGCAATTTGGTATGAAATTGTAACATGGTCCCACTCATTCATTTGCAATTCATATAATTTTTTCTGTTATTATGTCTTTGTTGTTGGATCCATAGCCAACAATTTGATTATCAGTTTATCTTTTCGACGTTGTTCTTTTGACTTCAAATCAACCTCCATAATGATGGAAAATTGCTTCATCGCTTCTACCTTTTCCATTTTAATTTATGTTTGTCGTTGCATTAACTTCATGTTTTTTTTTTACGATTCAGATGGCATAGATTTTCTTAACATTATCTTTGGATTCTTTTCTTCCCGAGTGATGAGGATGAGACACGTTCTCTGCCATTTACATTTATCTTTACAACTAGTTTCATGTCCTGGCCATTTTTATTGTGACGTATGTTTTCATGTTAGCTGAATTTTTTTCGCATAGATATTTTCTCAAAAAATTGGATCATTTAACTTATATAATTAAGATGTATGCTAATGGTCAACAATATCTGTGCGTATGAGAAAAAAATCGATGCCACTCTACATGGCTTACTGCCTACCGTAGTTACCTTAGCCTACACTGTGATACTTTAGAAGAACACTAAATGGGGAAACCAAAACATATTTCTAGTTGCGAACCTTTTCATCTTCCTAGGTGTAGTGTTTCTCCAACACTCTTCTCCTAATATGTGGTTCCAAGTTACCAGCAACTTCCTTCTCGAGCCTGGCATTGGATTTTTATATCATGTTAGTTGATATTATGTTACCCGGTTGTAATATTAATAGTGTGTGATAAAAACTTGTCCTAAAAAAAATATTAATTGTAGCATCATAATTCTTTCATATGTTATTTTTTCATTAATAATTAGTTATAACATATGTTCGTTATTTTGTGTAGGAAACACTAAGTCTACTATGAGAATTGACTTTCCAAAACTTACGCACAAAATTGAAGTCCACAATTGACGGCTCCATTACCCTTGGTTGCACTGTGAAAGTAGGCATCAAATGGTGTACATCCTCAATGGATGAGGGATGAACAACCTTGTACTTTGTATTGCTTATCTTGACCTTTCTTTTGTTTTATTTTAGTGCATTTTTCATAGGAAGGTCGCCATAATAGTTGATTGAGCGAAACAAAGAAGAAATAGTCGAGATAAAAATACAGAAAATAAAAGGTATAGTAGACGTAAAATACGTGTTGGGTAGTATTAGAAAGCTGGTCAAACAAAAAAGCCTTGGAGGAATGTTTTTGGGTTCATGAGTCTCGCAGCATTAGTGATAACATGGTCAAACAAAAAAATGCAAACTACCCAAATAACTGTGATTGTTGTTGCCAATATATGTGGTAACATGGACTATTTTCCAACAGCAGAGAAGAAAATATGAGTACTTCAAAGAGTACCAAGTGTATGTGATCAACAACCTTTCTAGTATGTACATCATTTGCAGAACGGTGGCATTTGGACCAGCCAAAGCACTAAAATTGTCATTTCCAAAAAGAACAAACAATGTTGCAACAACGTTAGGGATTTTAGTATTTTTATCTGCTAACTTTGATGTGTCATTGACATTGAAGGCGAAACCACGTAGTGTGGGAAAGGTTTATGTTTGAACATTCAAGTGTGAAGACTAGTACCTACATACTCAGAGTGGGAGGAGGTAAGTGTGTGTATGTGTTTTTGGATCACTTTATTTTATAAGCTTACAAACCTTCCTTTATTTAACCCCATCATTCTTTTCTTATTCCCCTTGTCAAACTATATTTAACTCAACACAATTTAAGGTCATTCTGGTTTTTATTCAATATTCGTGTCATACCTTTTTTTATACTAAAGTTATGACCATTTGCTATAATCATGTTATATAACCATATTATATAACCATCTTACATAAACTAAATGATGTCTTAATATCTCAAGCTATCTCCGCTCAAGATAGACTTCCAAAGTCAAGATTTGCCTTAAGGTTTTTCTCTACTTCTCTGTATTTGCTATTACATTTGAGTAAACCATGACCCAATTTGGTAGTTGTGATCTTAGGAATTTATTAGAGAGAGAGAATCAATTACCAATTAATTCCAAATACTTGGACCTCCTATTCATTTCATTTGAAAATCAAAACCCGATCAATACCAAATGTATATAAGACCTGGAATTTCATCACAAACACTTGTAAAAGTATAAAATATGACAAAGGTTGATGGGCCGTTTACTTGCCATTCCATTTCTGTTAGCTGCCACAACATAAAACAAAATTAAAATGAAAACGAAGCTGTCATTTCCTGGAAAACAAAACCTGAAAAAACCTTGTTTAGCTGAGAATTTTGGTGAGTTCTGAAACTGAGTTCTGAACTGAAAATCTGTTTAGTTGCTTCATTCTGTTTTCTGATTCTTGATTATCATACAACCCTAAACTTGTTTAGTTAGTTCATTCTGTTTTTCGATACTTGATTATCACAATTTTTTCATTGAGTATCATACAACTCTAATCATTTGTTTACATTTTAATACGAATCACATATCAACATTGTTATAAAAAAAGCAAACACATGACATTCTAATTGCTCTCCTACTAATATTTGAAGAATTTGACAACACAATTCACTTATATAAGTACATTATATACACTAGGTCTCATTGTCCGCACTCCGCGCTAAAAGGTGTACATATTTGATTAATTCATTTCAACATGAAAAAAGAACCATCAAAAGCAAGTAAACGGTTACAATTGGTGATCTAAATACACAATAAAAGGAATTGGATCATCTACAGAAAATTATGCAGCACACTGATTGGAATCAAATGAAGGGATGCTGCATTCTTTAAGGTCGTCATTGTCTTCACTAATTCCATTATTATCCAACATAGAAACAATAGCTTCAACTGTATGTCGATCACACTCCGTCCACTGTAATGAAAAGATCAATGATAACTATCAGAGTTGGTTTTTATAGAACAAATTGATTTAAATATGATTTCTTCCTCTGTTCACGATCTACAAAATAGGCCACACAAAACTCTAGATCGAGAACAAAATTGTTTACCTTCCAATCCAGCTAAACCCTAATTAAAAGGGACGAACCAGCCAGCCAAGCAAAGACGAGCACATGCAGGAGCAAAAGAGGAACCTTGGCGGTTGCTCGCCAAGTAGCTAAGACGAACGGAGAGCGGGGAGCACTAGCAGTGGCGAGTCGGCGACAAAGGATGGACTGCGACGATGGTGGCGTTGCGTCGGTAGTGGGAGACGCGACGGTGGCAAGTCGGTTCGGCGATTGAGGAAGTGCGGCGGCGATCAATGATGGCGGAGGCTGGAGTCAAAAGGAGGTAATCTGGAGGCAGTGGGAGAAGAAGTAAGGGCTTAACAAGGGGAAAAAAAGAGTTAGGGTGAATGGGGATTCGATCCCCAAACCTCATTAATGATGTGGACTGATAAATGGGGAAAATCCTGTGTCACTTTTTCAGGAAACAGAAATTTGTTGTTTCCTAAAAACTGCCTACTTATTGTCTCATTGTTTTTTCAATAAAAAACGAAATGGCAAATAAACACATTTTTTAATCCGTATTTTCTGATTATTATTTTGACAACAAAAAACAGAAAATGAAATGGCAAGTGAACAGGGCTTGATTTTCCTATAAAACCTTCATATGAAGAATACATATGCTAATACAAATTGTTTTGCAAATAGGAACGAAAATATGCATAAATAACTTGATATGTGGCCTTGACACGATGATTTAACAACCAAATCCCCTAAGAATAAGGACTAACTAACGACTATTTTAGGTGTTATCAATCCGGGGACTTTCCAACTCGCCATGGTTGGGGCGAGTGGCGGAGGAACAATCTGTATGGGTGGAGCAGCCCCACCAGCATTTGTTTTGTGGTGCAGGCAGTTGGGATGGTGGCTCTGACAGCGGGAGAAGTCCCAATATATAGTTGCTCGACCAGGTCCTTGCATGCCGCCTAGAGGATTTGTGAGACTACCGTCGACATAATTGGAAGTTGGAACAGAGGCAACCTGGTGTACGTTGCTTCACTTGCAACAAGAGGTACAGGGTGGCCACTCTTTAGTTTCACGTCCATCTCTCCAGTTCCATAAAAGGAGAAAACAATGTCTCTACCGCAACATCACATCTGAAATAGCCTGTTGCCTAGTATACAAAGCCTTAAAACATAGTCCAAAGCCCTAACCTCAGAAGAGGTGCACCAGCTGGTGCAATCGAGGTAACATAATATAACCAGATGGAACCACCCTTCCCTTTCAGGCTCGTTGTCATGCACATGCCTTCATCCGTAGCAAGTGATCACAGCACATGCCTTCATCCGTAGCAAGTGATCACAGCACAAAGCCCCAAACTTGATTATCAAACTTCTGTGTCCCCCATCAAGCTATGTTCCGCAGCAGATGAACATCTTCATTGGCTGCGATTCCCTAAGAAGTCTTTGGTTCTCTTCCTAATTCGTGTAAACACAATAACACCCAAAGCGAGGAGCCACGGGTTAAAGTTACCCTCAAAGATCCTGGAATTCTTGATCCACTGAGGAGGTTCTTTCACCAGTACGGTTATGAATAAGGTTATTATTGCCACCCCGAACAAGATCTTGGTGACCGGCTTTATCATCGAATCCTGAAATTCCCATGTTCAATGGCATCAGTAATATGGTTTTTCAAGTAAAGCATTCTGGAAAGTGGGAGAAAAACATTCAAGGCAGAGCTGCTAGAACTGTATTTGCTATAGCCTACTTCCAGAGCTGATTAGTTACTCCAAGGTGTAAATTTTCTACAGTAATGGGAAAGACTGGGCAACAGACTAATCCAATTTGCTGGGATGATGAGGCTCACGAAATCTGTAACTCAAGCAACAAGAATTGAATCACGAATTAATGGAACTCCAGTGGCCCTTACTACTTATAATCCCCATTTTCAGTATCTTAGCACAACTGTAATTCTCAACGGAGCCATATAGACTGCCATCACCAAGCTAAAAAAAGACCATGGGTCAGCCAAGCAGTGCATTGATCCATGGTATTTAGCATCTAAACATATTCTTCTCAAAGAAAGAAACTTTTCCCGATCCAGAGAACAGAGCAGATAAGTGAGATATTAAGGGTTTACCTGTGGCTCGCCGTCGAGGTAAATTACGGCTCCGTGTTTATAAGCAAGCATGGACCTGCCGTTCTTCCGGTTGAATCGGATCGGGGTGCCCCGGGTCATGGACCCGGGGTTGAAAGCGTAAACGCACTTGAAGCCGTGCTTATCGAGGATGTCTCGGACCTCCAGTTGATCCTGCTCCCACCCTCCCAATTTCATCTTGAAAACTTCAATCGGGCCTTTCCCTTGCCGATAAAGATGAATCTCCGCTTCTGGCACCGGCGTCCCTGCGGATTTTGGGTTGCCGTCGGCTTCGATTAGCGGCGTAGTCTCCGAGCTCATCTCGTCGACTTCTCTGATTTCTTCGTCCGCCGTCGCCATCCTCGCCTCCTGCTGGCTGAATTGAATATTGCCGTCGCGCAGAAAGTGGACCGGTGAAGTAAATGAACGAAGCGAACTATCGATGGGGGATAAAGTTCCTGGCTTTGATCATTGGATAAAGGCCCAAAATTTCTTAAAAAAAAAAAGATAAAGGCCCAAAATTAAGGTCCATTTTAGATGGACCCGTATCAACAGTACATTTGATTACCAGCCCAATTTGAGAATTTAGCCAAGGCGTCAACTTCTGCTGCTTTAATTGGACTTTGGACTTTCAAGTAACATGGTTTTTGGAGGTAAACACTATGCATTAGTTATCGTGGATAATTTTAGGAGATTTTTTTTTATGTATTCTTAGCTATCAAATATAAGACCGTTAAGAAATTTTAAAGTCATTTATTTTACAAGTCCAAAATGAGAAACAACAAAAATCATTCACATTAGGAGTGATCAAGGTGAACAATTGATAAGAGATGAACTTCTGGTTCACTGTAATCAACTAAGTATTAAGCATACATTTTTGTCCATATAGATCAATTCTCCTTACTCGTGTCAATTTTTGTTCTCTCCTTGCCAAGAACAAGATCGGTTTTGTCATTGCAACCTTTCCAAAACCTCATTCGGGAGAACCACACCATGGCATTGGTTGGCTTTGTCAGGCTATGTAACGCGAGATACGAATGAGTCTCAGTTGCAGCTTTTACTTCGAAGCTGGACCTAAGGAGATTCGTGTCTAAGTGAGCTCTCATCTTATAAGTAGCTAGAATAGTGGTTAAGTAGTTTGGTTATCTTAGTCTCTTAATCACTACTATTGTTTGGCTAGATAACAAACCATAGTTGAAGTAACGGTACACTAGAGACCTGTGGTTCGATAATTTAATTACTTTACTTACCCTATGCTACACTCGATCGTCAGTTATGCTTGGCCTTCAATCGAGAATGTGTAGTTAGGTGATGCCACCTTATTTATAGTGTTTATTACTCTCATTCTTAAAACATTTTCCCTTGCTATCAAGATACATTTAGTCATTTTAATAGTATTTCATATCTAGATAAAATATATTTGATCGATGAGCATCTAATAGACCTAGGTTATGTTCTTGTACTCTTTGATGCATTATGGGTATGTTTTTGGTGGTTTTGAAGTTACAAATCAACATATGGAAGATTGGATCAAGCATTTGGAAAATTCTGGAGGATCAAATAAGCTATAAAGAGAATAGTCTGAAGCCTTTCTGAAAAAGATGAGTTCTAATGACGAAGAAGTCAGCTGGAGGTCTCTAGGGTTTGTGAGAGGCCACTAAAGGGTTTCAACTAACCTGACATTTTGGATATCAAAGGGTCGTCTTGCAATTTGATTTTTACAGTCACATACAACCCTGCTCGTCAATATGACGGCCTAGTGCTTCAATTTAACAGTCTTCTCGAGCGAGAATGGATGGTAACGATCTCATGTCCATTGAGAGCTATCTTTAGGATGATCATTTGGCTAATAAAGGCACATATATATATGCTTCTTGGATTGCATTCTATTTCTGATTAAGACTCGGTTATTGGTTATTGACTTTTATATGATACAATTTGAATTTGTGATATGATTGAAGTTTCTGAGGTATTATAAATTGTATAAGCTAGTGGGTATTCTCCACCTTTTCTGATAAAGAAGAAAAAACTCCATGAACCACCTAGTGTTTCACATACATCAGAAAACTCAATGTCCCATGCACACATGATGACACCCTAAACTAGGGGTGTCAATTCGGGTTTAATTTTTTGGTTTTAACCGAACCCGAACTAGTAAGCTATATTATTGGGTTTTGGGTTTCGATTTTGTTTTAGGTTTGGGTTTGCAGTTTTCGAGTTTCATTTTTCGGTTTCGGTTTTGATTTCGGGTTTAGCTAAAAATCTGAAACCATATCAACTCTTCATATTTCATAGTGTGTTTTGATTTTTGGGTTTCGATTTTGCGTTACCCAAACCTAAAATTGTTAAACGACTTTTCGATTTCGATTAACAGAAACCATAAAATCTTTATCAATTTCAGGTTCGGTTTTCAAAGGACAACATTTTTGGTTTTCGGGTATTTTTGGATTTGGGTTCGGTTATCCAAACCCGACCCGACACCGCTACCCTAAACGGCGTATTGTAAGTTGTAACCAACTCATCTGGATCATAAAGATCGTTGTGAACCCATGGGCTAAGAAACAAAATGGCAAGAGGACCAAAGTTGAGACAAAAAATCAATTACAACACACCCAATTTAGTATGGTTTTGCAAATGCTAACACGGAAAAGGACGGTAAGCGAATAGTTTTTTCTCTCTTCCTCTAGAGAGCCTTTCTGTTTCCTCTCTCTCTGTCTTCTGTGAGTGGTGACGTTTCATCTCCCTTCTGAGGACTCCTCCCCTTCTTCTCTTCTGGTTTTGGATCCCTCTTTTTGGGTTTTGGTTTGTCATTTTCGGGTGAAGTTTTCGTGCTTTCTGGTTCGGGCTGTATTTTGAGAGGTTGTTACAATCCAGGGCGTTATTAGTGTGCCATGGCAGAGGACATAGCTGTGCAACTATCCGAAGTGAACCTGACAGAAGATGAAGAGTCAATCATTAGCATTGAAGAATCAGTTACCACCGAAGGTGTTGAAGAAGCTATTAAGGAATTGGGAGTTGCTGGAAAAGTTATAGTAGGAAAACTTCCTGCGGAAAAGATCCTGAAAAGGATCTTCAGTGAAGCTTGGAAACTAAAGAAGGATTTCGATATTCAAGTAACTAGACAAAACATTATAAGACTTCAATTCTACTGTCTCGACGATAAGAGTAAGGTTCTGAATGGAGGTCCTTGGCATCTGGAACGACAACTCCTGATATTCAAAGAAATCCCCCCTGATTTAGACCTGGAAAAGCTGGAGTTTACGACTACTGACATTTGGGTCCGAGTTCAAAATTTTCCTTTAAAGCTAAGAAACCAGCAGATGGCGGAGAAGATAGGAGAAATGTTTGGCAGTTTCATTCGTTGGGAAGAATTGCATTCTGGAGTCAGCAGTGAATACATGAGAGTGAGGGTGGCTCTGACTATTACGAAGCCCCTAAGGAGAGTGGCTAAACTGCAAGGTCCTGATGGACCAATATCTTATAGAGTGGGATATGAAAGGCTTCCGATCTATTGTTTCAAATGTGGGATGTTTGGCCATCTGAAGAAAGCTTGTGAGAGGAATACTGATGAGGAAAAGCATAAAGAAGATCCTTATGGTTCCTAGCTACGGGCTTAGTCACCCCTGAAAAAGATCTCTTTCAAGGAAAAAGGAAAAGCTCAACAATTAGCTAAATTGTGGAATGAAATAAAGGCTGAAAAAGATGAAAAGGAAAGGAAGGAAAGTACTCTTCGGATTGAGAATGAAGCTAGTAGTGCTCTTGAGGTCCTTTCAAGAAACCTTCAGGAGACACATGTCCAGGAACAGGATATTAGAGCCCTGCAGAAAGATCAAATTACTGAGGGGAATGAGCAGAGTAAGGATAAAAGCGACACAAATAATGGAAAGGAAGGGAGGACAGAAGAGGTGGAGGAGAAAAGACTGATTATGACTGGTAAACAGGAAACAAGCGAGAAGAGTAAGCAGCAGGACAAAAGGAAATGGACAAGAATTGCGAGAGAGCAGACTGGCATATCAAAAAAGAGCCAAGAACAAGAACTGATGATGACTGGAAAGAGAGGGGCTCCAGATGACATGGACGTGGATTTGGTGCCCTGTGTGGAAAAACGTCCAAAAGGAAACTCTAAATTGATCATGGATGGCGATGTGGCGGTCCTTGCTGAGGAGCAAGGCCGCCGAGCCCAATGAAGATCATCAGCTACAACTGTCGAGGGCTGGGCAACCCCTCGGCAGTTGCAAAGTTAAAAAAGCTTGTCCGAATTCAGAAACCTCAGATTCTTTTTCTTATGGAAACTAAAAAGGATGAGAGTGGATGGAAAGAAATTCAAAAGGAACTTGGCTACTATGGGGGCTGTGGTGTTCCAGCAAAAAATGAAAAGGGGTGGAAAGCAGGGGGTTTGTGTTTGTTTTGGGAAGAAGACATTTCAGTAAACAAGGTTGATGCATCTTTACACCATATTGACGTTATTGTCTCTTCTGAGGAGGATGATATCAAGTGGCGCCTAACCGATTTTTATGGCTGGGCTAACAGAGGGGAAAGATTCTGTTCGTGGGACCTGCTTAGAAGATTGAAAAATGGCTGTAATCTCCCGTGGGTGTGTATGGGAGACTTTAATCAGGTGTGTTATCAGGGGAGGAAAAAAGGGGAGGGAGACCAATTGATGAAGCTAATGCAACTGATTTTAAGGAAACTCTTGAATTTTGCGGTCTCCTTGATTGTGGGTTCGAGGGGTATCCTTTCACTTGGGATAACAGTAGAGAGAATGAAAGGCACATTGAAGAGAGACTGGATAGATGTTGTGCAAACTGGGAATGGAAACTTCTTTTTCCAAATTATCGAGTTTTTCACTTGGTCAGATGTGGTTCTGACCACTGTCCTGTTCTACTCTATATTGCAGGGAAAGATGATGAGGAGATTAAATGAGGATGGTATTTCAAAGTTGAGCCTTTATGGTTAAAGGATCCTGAATGTAAAACCATTGTTAGCAGGGTGTGTGACTCAAGTCAATCTACTGACTTATCTAGTATTCTGGACAGCTGCAAAGTTGATCTGTTGAGATGGAGCAAAAACAAATATGGGGACATAAGGAAGAAAATCAATAGAATTGAAGAGCTTCTAAAAGGCTTTAAGTACAAGCCTAAAACCATAGTGATTCTTGACCGAAGAAGGGCTCTGGAGGCTGAAAGGTCTGATCTCCTCTATCAAGAAGAATTGCTTTGGAAACAGAGATCAAGGGCTGATTGGCTCAAAAGGGGGGGGGGGGGACAAAAATACAAATTTCTTCCATACAAAAGCCACAGGCAGAAGGAAAAGAAACACGATTAAGATGCTTCAGGATGAGAAAGGAAAAAGATATAAGGGGCAAAGTGAAGTTATGAGATGCTTATTGGAATACCATAAAAATCTTTTCCAAAAGGGTGTTATCCCTGATTCTGATGATGTGATTCTTGCTCTGGAAAAGAAGATAACGCCAGGAATGAATGCTAAACTGTTGAGTGGGTTTAGAGCCGAGGAAGTGAAGATTGCTCTGGATCAGATGAGCCCTAATAAGGCACCAGGCTCGGATGGATTTTCAGCTGGTTTTTTCCAAAAGAACTGGGAGGCTATTGGCACAAAGGTAACTGAAACAGTTTTAAATTTCCTGAATAATGGGGAGTTTCCCCAAAGTTTAAACCATACACTAATAGCTTTAATTCCAAAGGTCAAAACCCCAGCCACGGCTAAGGATTTTAGACCTATTAGCTTATGCAGAGTGGTTTACAAGATTATCTCAAAGGTGCTGGCAAATAGACTGAAAGATATTTTGGATGAAATTATATCTGAAGAACAGAGTGCTTTTGTGCCGGGAAGGAGTATTACTGACAATGTGATAATTGCTTTTGAATGCTTCCAGTTTATGAAGAACAGGAAAAAAGCAAAGAATGGCTATTTTGCTGCTAAGCTTGACATGGCTAAAGCCTATGATCGTGTTGAGTGGTTCTTCTTGGAAAAGGTTATGAGGAAAATGGGTTTTGAAGAAAGATGGATTGATCTGATTATGAAATGCGTCTCTTACTCAATCCTTGTGAATGGACATAAGACAGAAAGTTTCCAACCTACTAGGGGATACGTCAAGGTGATCCCCTGTCACCTTATTTATTTCTGCTTTGTGCTGAAGGCCTATCTGCTCTAATAAAGAAAGCGGAAAAGGAAGGGAAACTGCATGGAATTCAGATCAGGAAAAAGGCCCCTAATATTTCCCATCTTTTATTTGCAGACGACAGTGTGGTATTTGGAAGGGCTTTGTTGCGAGAATGTGACATGCTAAAAGGAATCCTGAACACTTTATGCAAAGGAATCAGGCCAACTCATCAATTTTAACAAGTCAGAGATATCCTTCAGTACCAATGTCAGGATGAGCAGAAGATTGGAAATATGTGGAACCCTTGGAATCAGAGAAGTTCTAAAACATCCAAAATATTTGGGGCTGCCTACTATTGCAGGGAGATCAAAGAAGGTTATGTTCGAAGAGATCAAGGAAAGAGTCAGGAAGAAACTTAAAGATTGGAAAAGCATAACCATGTCTCAAGCAGGGAAGGAGGTTATGATTAAGGCTGTCGCTAAAGCGCAATTTCTTTATCCTATGGCTGTTTTCCTCATCCCTGAAGGTATTCTAAAGGATGTGCAGAGAATGATATCGAACTTTTGGTGGGGACAAAAGGGAAAGGAACCTAAACATCATTGGCTGGGTGGGATGATCTGTGTGATGATAAGGAAGTTGGGGGAATGGGGTTAAAAAATCTTCGAGCTTTTAACTTGGCTATGCTGGGGAAACAGGTTTGGAATGTGCTCTCTCGACCTAACTCACTGATGGCTAGAACTCTCAAGGCAAGGTATTTCCCAAACTCTGATATTTTAAATGCAAAATCGGGATATATGCCCAGCTTCATATGGAAGAGTATCTGGAATGCAAAAGAAAAGATCAAGGAGGGATTCAGATGGAGGGTTGGAGATGGTAACTCAATTCGCATTTGGGAGGATGCTTGGATCCCTGGGAAAAGTTATTACTTTGATGATCCTCAACCTAATTGTGGGAGTGTTTCGGAGAGGGTTTCCAGTCTCATAGATAAAGAGCAGTGTGTATGGAATAAGGATAAGATTTATAGGATGTTCTCAAAACTCGATGCTGATCTTATATCAAAGATTCCTCTGCGGTGTCCTTTGAAGGAGGACTCCAGGATCTGGATTGACTCTGATGATGGGATCTATTCAGTTAAATCGGCTTATCGAAGAATCCATGGTGAGGTGGCACACAATTCGATCAGACTTAACACTATATCGGACGAAGAAATGGAATTCTGGAAGGCTTTATGGAAAACAACCATCCCTCCTAAAGTTCGTATGTTCCTATGGAGAGTGGGTAGAAATATCTTACCAGTAGGAAGCAATATTGAGAAGTGGTTTGAAGAAGCCTGTGTGGAGTGCCCTTTTTGTGGGCTTCAGGAAACCCATATGCATGCCCTGAGAGATTGTAGCTGGATTCGACGCCGCTGGGAAGAATGGGATGGCAAGAACCTATTTGAAATTGGGGAAGGAAGATCATGCTTAAATTGGATGAAGGAGATCTGGAAGAACCCAGAGGATAAAATACAAAAATTTGGAGTGGTGCTTTGGTACCTGTGGAAGGAAAGATGCAACCACCTCAACAACAACCATAAACTGGAAGAAGATCTCATCATCCCGAAAGCGTTGTGATGGCTTCAATCTTATCTTGATGCCCAGGAGGTGGAGGTTGAAGGCGGATCTGTGAATAGAACGATTACCCGATCGGGGACTCTGGGGGGTTGGTCTCCGCCTCTGGAGGGTGTCTATAAATTGAATACTGATGCTGGCATTCTTAGCCCGTCGGGAATCGGTCTTGGAGGTGTGATTCGTGACTGGAGGGGATCTTTCTGTGGAGCTACGGCGATGAAAGAAAGAGGGATATGCAGACCAATTGAAGGGGAAGCAAAAGCGATCATCATGGGTTTAAAGGAAGCAAACAGAAGGGAATTCAGTCCCCTGGAAGTTGAGTCTGACTGCAAAGTACTGCTAAGAAAGCTGGAGATGGAGGAAGATGATTTCTCTGAGTTCGGAATATGGTGCGAAGAAATTTGGAAATTTGCGCGAGCAAATGAAGCTTTGTCAGAGAAGAAGGTGAGATGGAGTTTCACTCCGCGTGCTAACAACACCACTGCGCACTGACTCGCTCATGCGACGTCGGATTGGGATCGGCAGTTTGTGTGGGTCGACAGCCCACCTTTGAATCTACTCTGTCTAATTGAGGCCGATTTGAGGCCAACTGTAATGGGCCCAACTTGATTTTCTTAATATTATGAATCCAGGTTCCCATAATAAAAAAAAGGACGGTAAGCAAATCGCCAAAGCCAACCCTTCCGCTGAATGAACATAGAAAGTGCAGATTTAACTAGTAAATAAATATGAAGTCTCTAACACACCACTGACACCAGACATCATAATACGAGATCGCATAACTTGTATTGAGAAATCTGCTAACGAGAATGACAATATGTCACTTCATTCGTTCTTAGTGCATAGCCGAATGAATTCGGAAGAGGAGAAAGAAAAATAATAGTAATATGAAACGAAAAAGAAGCTAACATAAACAGAGGAAATTCTTGCAAGATGCAGCGGCTCCAACACAAGAAGAAAAAGAACGACGACAGCCTCAGCACAGCATGACTTAGAAGCACTTCCTGTGGACGATGGAGGGGCCAGACTCATCGTACTCTGCCTTGGCGATCCACATCTGCATTCAATTGAGCAAAATATAATATATCAGATATTACAATCTCCACATATCATTAGCAGTTACTTCTTTGCAATCATGATATCATGCTAATACGAACCTGCTGGAAAGTGCTGAGAGATGCCAAGATGGAGCCTCCAATCCAGACACTATATTTCCTCTCAGGTGGAGCAACCACCTTGATCTTCATGCTGCTAGGAGCCAAAGCAGTGATTTCCTTGCTCATCCTGTCTGCAATGCCTGGGAACATGGTAGATCCACCACTAAGAACAATGTTGCCATACAAATCTTTTCTGATATCCACGTCGCACTTCATGATAGAGTTGTATGTAGTCTCATGAATCCCAGCAGCTTCCATTCCGATCATTGAGGGCTGGAAAAGGACTTCAGGGCATCTGAAACGTTCAGCACCAATTGTAATCACTTGTCCATCAGGAAGCTCATAGCTCTTCTCAACAGAAGAGCTAGTCTTTGAAGTTTCCAGCTCCTGCTCATAGTCAAGGGCTATGTATGCTAGCTTCTCCTTCATATCCCTCACAATTTCCCGCTCAGCTGTGGTAGTGAAGGAATAGCCACGCTCGGTCAAGATTTTCATGAGAGCGTCAGTCAGGTCACGACCAGCCAGGTCGAGACGAAGGATGGCATGAGGGAGTGCATATCCCTCATAGATAGGGACGGTATGGCTGACACCATCACCGGAGTCCAGAACGATACCTGAACACAAGAAGATAACAAGATTGTGAAGGTAAGAAACACTCATATTAACTTAGGTGTGCCAGAAAGCTAGTAACTTGAAGTAAGGTGCTTAGTTGCATAGCGAAGACGCATGAAGTTTCATAGTTATTAGTTATTACACCTCTATTCACTTCGAAATGACAACTTTCATGTACATTTTAACTCACTTTCTACCTTAACAGTCTAGTCGTCTTTAATTGGTAGAGCACCAAAATGGACAATCTAAGTCAAGTTTGAACTTCATAAAACTATGTGTTCATTACCATTTGATTTAATTAATTCTTGTCTTTTCATCAGTCTTCAAATGGAGCAATACATTATTTCAGTTGAACATGCTGATTTAGAGACACTCACCAGTTGTACGACCACTGGCATAAAGGGAGAGGACAGCCTGAATGGCAACATACATAGCAGGAGTGTTGAAGGTTTCAAACATGATTTGGGTCATCTTCTCACGATTGGCCTTTGGGTTGAGAGGTGCTTCAGTAAGCAGCACAGGGTGCTCTTCTGGGGCAACTCGAAGTTCATTGTAGAAAGTGTGATGCCAGATCTTCTCCATATCATCCCAGTTACTTACTATACCATGCTCAATGGGGTATTTCAAAGTCAAAATACCTCTCTTAGACTGAGCTTCATCCCCAACATAGGCATCCTTCTGCCCCATTCCAACCATCACACCTGTGTGACGTGGGCGACCAACAATGCTAGGGAACACTGCCCTAGGAGCATCATCACCAGCAAACCCAGCCTAGAACGTGGCAAAAATGTATCAGCATACACTGCCACAGCATGGCATCCTCCACATAGCAATCTCAAAAGACCTTTTTGCAATGTAAAATACAGTACCTTGACCATTCCAGTTCCATTATCGCAGACAAGTGGCTGGATATCCTCACCTTCTGCCATCTTCTATAAGCTGACATAGAGTACCACCATCAGACATAGACCAACAGGATATGAAAAGACAACCGGTACAAGAGTCATGAAAGAGAACAGGATAAGTGATACACGTACACATGCTCAGAATCACAAATAGAAACCATGCCCGAACTACTTTTGAGAAATAACTAGCTAAAATACTAGATCAGACCCAGAAATCTTATTCGAATGTTTCAGTCCCTTGTGCCAGGAAAGAAGATAAACAATACTATCACCCTCCAAATTGTATCAAACATGAGACACAGACTTGAAAACAGGGCAATAACGTTCACTCAAATTTAACATACCACTTTGGGCCAGAGATGTCAAGAATACATGTTGAACACATTCCATTATACAAGGGCTAACTGACCACCCTACGTTGCCAATTGGCAAGTCAGATGATCTTATGTCCAAAATTGTCTTTTTCAGAATACGGGTAAGTCCCACACAGAGCAAGATCAAGATATAGAAAGCTGATTCCGAACGCAAGCACAAACTCACAATTGAATTCAGCCGGAATCTAGATCTACAGCCGCATTGCACTGCATTGCGACTGGAGAAGTAATATTGCAAGTTAAGCCCTTTTTTTAAAATCCAAAGGTTACCCGATCCGGAGCAGAAGATTAGCATATTTGCCATTAAAGATTAGGGTTAGAGGGAAACCATATCACTCACCGTTCAGCTAAACTCAAAGATCAGGAACAAAATACATCACTCATTAGCAACAGATCAATACCAGGGAAAGGAATTTACAACTGCCCTTGAGCTAAACGAACCCAGATCTGCGATTCAATTCATTCGGATACGACACAATGCAGGCCGAAAACGACGAACCGAGCGATTTTCCCCGGGAACCAAACAAGTGCACGGAAAGAGTTGGACGGAGAACTGAAAGAGAGAATGCGAGAGGGGGAATTCACCTGAGGAAGGGGGGGGAGAGCGACGAGCGGCGTTAATGCTTCTGCGATTGACGGGAGAAAGTGGTGGCCGCTGCTGTGGGTTTGGGATTTCGAAAAATGACAGGGAGAAAGGGGAAAGTGGGGTGTGTATTTATTTATATTTATATTTATGGTGTTGCGAGTGTTGGCTCTGTGCCTTCTATTTTTAATGTTTTTTAGGCCTCTGATTTGATTGATTTTCCAATTGGAAGAAAGCCGATTCTTCAGGACGTGTTGGCTGCATCGACAGCCATCGGATCGCCAGATTTGGATTTAGTGGCCGGGAAGGATTGGGGCGTAAAATGGGGAAATGATGAGAAGTAAAAAAAAAAAAAAAAAAAAAGGTAAAATTGACTGGATAATGAAAAGTAAACATGTTCCTCACTTGGCTTGTGATTAAGAATGCAATAACCAAATATGATGGTATGGTTAAGGATAATATGCGAGATTGGTTATTAATCAGATTTCACATAATAGCGATCCTTAATTTGTTACTTGTACAATTTTTTAATAGGTATTTGTACCAAGTAACTGTTGAGCTGCAGAGTTCAGGAATTGAGAGGTAAAAGACCTACTGTTGTGAAAGGAAAATTGAAGTGGATTTCTCTTATCAGTTGGATTTGGCGGAGAGATTTGTTTTGATATTTTTTGTCTTTTAATATGATATATAGCAAAGAGTTTTGGTTAGTTGTAATGTATGGACAAGCTTTTTTCAAGATTAATAAATTGTAACGGTTCTTTGTATTACACAGCCTAGTTGACGAGGATGTTGCTAGTAAATTCTTATTGATGATATAATACCACATTGTTCATAAAAACCGTAAAAATAGTGTAAGGTAATTTTGGAGTAAGGGGGAGGGGGAAGGGGAGGGAGGTGGAGACTGCTCCCCAAATATTCAATTTACTTTTCCCCTTTTCAATAATCTTAGAATCTCATGAGTCATAAGTAATGACAAAATAACAATAACGCTTACTCTTGGGGTCACTAACAAAATAGTAACTTATGTTTTATTTTTAACAAACCAATAACTTATTTTTTACATTTCGTTAGCTCATTGCTAAATGACAGCTTATATACCTCACTTCAATGATCTACACGTTATTTAGCAATCTGATTGTTGTTTCAATTATTAAAACTAAAGAAGCATGAAAGTAAATGAGATTGAATTCAAATGAGGAAAGCTTCGCATGTACGTGTTTTTCCCTGGTCTACACTGTATCAACGCTGTGATACGCTAATTCGATTCACACTAGCATATAATGTGGAGAGCTCTAATATATATAGGACTACCTATTCGGGTTATCCAATCTTGCTCAATTACACTACCTGGGGAGGCATACCAACAACCGAACAAGGTAATTGAGGAAACCACAACTACTCGCACAATTGGGTAAAACCCGGTACGACAAAAAGGATATAATTACACTCGTTCATGGAACCCAAGTGTTGAATTAACAATTTTCACGATTTTGGTGAAATCCTCACGGGTTGAGACCGTGAGGTTTGCAACTACCCGTGAGACGTCCTCTTCTTTCTGGGACTCTGCAAAGTTCACGGTTTTGATGTAGAAGTCATGCTTTGGGCGTGGAGAAATGTCCTGGAGCGCGAGCTTTGACACTTTTCACCATTGTGCCCCATTTGTCTGACTTTTGTTCCTTTTGCCCATTTCACCTGTTAGGAAATGAAACATACTTAAACATGCAAATGTAGTATAAAATGGCTCCAAAGAAGATGCAACCCAAGTCAAACGTCCAAGAGAAAGGAGTATAAATGTGTATAACTTGGCTCGACTCAAACTCCCCACACTTAACCGGTTGCTTGTCCTCAAGCAAACCTAGCTCATACCGCTACAGCTTGACGGACCCTCACAACGATAAGCATTATAGATCATAGTTAGCAAAACAATTAGCACTTCGAAAGAAAAGAAGAAGGAACAACTTAACAGATAAGAAGAAGAAGAGACAGTGCTTGTCGACATGGAGCACGGCCCCGGCGGAATCACGGAGGCTCTCCACTGCATGCGAGCTCTGGCAGCCACTCGGACTCCGGCGATTCTGAGATTGTCAGAGATCTCTCCTGTCTGGGCCAAGAAGGCCCTGGATCTGTTCCCCTGGGGATTATGTTCCCGATGATCGATTCCCCCAAACTGGCAAAGAAAGCAGTCTCGTACTGCCGCTTCCCACCGGCGGGGATCCGGGGATCGCCCACACGGTGGTGAGAGCTTCGAATTACAGGATCGACGAAGGGTATTTGAGTAATTACTAGGAGGAGCTGCTGATTATGTGCCAGATTGAGAGCGAGGAGGCGACTTCGTCTTCTCTTCTTCCCCTTTCGTTCCTTCTGTTTTCTCTGCAATGGGCATCCCCTGTTCGATTCGATGAGCGATGAGATCCCAACTTGTTGAACGATGAGATCTTCTGGTCACCTTCCAGCTTGTTCTTCGCCATTGGGCTTAACCTTCCAGCTTTTGAGAACTAATCCAGCGTTAGTCGTTGTGGTAGAGGTGATTTCCCTCTGGTTACGGCGCTTGTCGCTGGTTTGCCGCTGCCGTCGCGGCGAGAGTTGAGCGGTGAGAAAGCAAAGAACCAGATCTATGGTTCTAATGCAAAGGCCTCTCGCTTGTTAATACCCACCATTCCATCCGGCTCTTTCCTCATAAGTAATTTTCACCCAGCAAAACTCCGGCCGATGAAAACTCTAGACCTCCGTTCCACTCTCTAGCTCAGACTAAAACAAAGAATACCCAGTTGCAAATTCGTATTGTTCGATTAATTGGGATCTCGTCGCCGGAAATCTCATCACAGTTCAACTGTGAATTCCCCTGCATCACAATTGTTGTGGTTCCAGAGCTTGTCAACTTACTCAGCTTGTCGTATGGGAAAGCAATGAGATGTTGGTTTGGGTCGATTGGCACTACCGACGTCGATGTTGGTTCTTCCACCCCATCGCCATTATTGTTGGAAGCTTGGATCTTTTGCAGATTGTGTATTAAGTTCCGGTGGAAATCCATCGACGGTACGGTGCTGGATTGCTCGCTAAAATCTGGGGTGTGCGCCGGCGATCTGTTTCCTCCGACCAGGCGTTCGTTGAAGGCTCCTCCAGTCGGCAACAAAGCTAATTAATTACCTTTTTAATTCAGGGCTCCTTTTGGGGCAAGACCATTAAGTCTATTTAAGAGACTATAACGCATCTTTTATGCAATGTATTTGGACCTCTTATTGACCCCATAACAATGTCTAACTAAATGCTATACCTTTTAATGCATACTTAATGCTCTCTTTAATTTGAAAGTACTAGATTATTTGATTTTCGACTAACAACCGTTATACTAATGATTTAGACTTTGACTCTAGCCAATAGCACTCGACTTACAAAGCGGCGTATCCCTTTATGACACTCAATGGTCCTTTATGGCCGAAATTACCTCCCATTTTTGGGAAGGAAGGAGGTTTAAAAGTTAAAACTTTCATAATTGCTTTTTCTTAAGTAAGTTCGACTCATTTGAGATTACTCCATCAATAAGTAGAAACATTCATTTTGTTTAAAATTAATATTCAAGTCCCGTCTAAGCTCAAATTCTTCATATGGCAATGCCTCAAAGTCATACTTTCCATAGTAGGCCCTTCAAACTCGTGGAGTAAACTGTCTTAACCGATGCCCTGTCTGCTGGAGACATTGAGAAAGCATTGAACATTTATTTTTTAGATGCCCCTAGCCATCATATTGTGGACTTTCATGGGATTGAGCAACTTTATTGAGACCGCCCAGACTGTTAACTTTAGTCTATGGTGGCGACATGTCATGGTCTCTGAGACCTCCCTATTCCACATTCTCCAATGCGTATTTTACTTTGGAGAATCTGGAAGTCTAGAAATAAAGTGACCTTCGAATTTTACCAACCTCATGTCCGTTCCCTAGCCAGACTGTTCTACAACCAGGTCCTCGAAGTCTCCAATCTTCTCCTTCCTCCTCCAACCCGCAACTCTCTACTCCCAAACCATCCTGCCACCTCTTGGGTCCCTCCGCCAGAGAACTTTTAGAAGATCAACTTCGACGCTGCTGTTTGTGCCACCGGGTGTTCGTCTGGGCTTGTTATCCGTGGGTCAGACGGGCATGTGGTGTTGGCGTTCGGGCTGCAGCATCAAGGAATAGTTAATCCTTACCTGGCAGAGCTTCTAGCCTTTAGACACGCTATCTCCATCGTAGCCTCAAGATCCTTGACCCGCATGATAGTCGAAGGTGATTCCGAAGTGGTCGTCAACCAAGTCCGTTAAGGCGTCATAGAAGACTCAATTGGTGGTCCAGTGTTACGAGTGTGTCATCAGATCCTTAGCTCTTTGTCTGTTTGTATAGAGTTTAGGAAGGTACCTAAGTCCGCCAACGGTGCTGCCCATAGAGTGGCGCTTAAAGCACTGCTTTTGTCTCGTTTAAAGCTAAAATCTTTTGTTTTGTTTGGGAGGCTTCTTTAGAGTCTTTTAGGGGTCCTGGGTAGAATTGTAAGTTTAACTATTATCGTTCTTTGATATCACTCAGAAATAAATAAATAAATAAATAAAATAAAAAAAGATAAGAAGAAGAGACTCGTTTGAGTAAAGATGAGGCTCTGCTACGATGAAAGGTTGTGCAAACCCATGAGGTATTATTGATGTATGAATGGTTAAATACAAGAGTACATCAATGAATTCCAAAGAGTGAGTTAAAAACAGAATGAAAGCTGGAATATATGAGCTCGTCATATTTGCAGTCATTTACCTGATGACATAAAAGCACATGACACTGAGATTAGTTTACGAGCAATTTTCCAGTCCATGAACATATACAAACAATGGTGGAATTAATTACGTGTAGCTTAGAAATGGGTTCCAGCTTCATCAAATTTTGGTGTAAAATGTGTGTATTCAATTCAGAGTATTTACCTATTGACCTTTTGCAGTGAAGGACTGCCTCGTAGATAGAGGAATCAGCGTCGGACCAACCATCATCCGGTGAACAAGCCGTGCTGCTTCTTCTTGGTGAAACCTGCGGCGAGCTGCTTTTATTGACTTGCAGAATTCTTCTGTCAGCAGCAGCATCATCCGCCGCCCTTATACACTTTCTGGAGCTGGAGCTCCGTACCCACGAATACTTCAGACGCCGGAAGTAGTTCAACAGGACGCGGCCAGACAGCTTCCTCCATCTTCCCAGGACTTGACACTGGATGTTGACCGCAGAAACCGCCCTCTTGTTGGCGGCGCCCAAGGCAGAGGAAGGAGGAGGAGGAGCGGGCGGCGGCGTCGACGTGTGTGATTCTAATTCGTTGTAGAGACAACAAGGCTTGATGACTCCATGGGAGAAAAGCTGGTCGGCTGGGGCAACCGTTGTTCCTCGGCCTCCTGTAGCAGCAGCAGAGACAGAGGCTGGAATGTCGAAACAGAACTTGTGTGATTCTTCTTCTTCTGCTGTTGATCTTCTGGGGCGCAGCATGTTGTAATCCAGTTGTTTGGAGTTTGGATCGTAAAACCCATCAATGGATGGTCTGAGCGAGGCTTGTAAACAATCCAAGGAGGAGGAGGAGGAGGAATTCACACTTGTTAGTAGCCAACTGTGGGAGAAACTTTCAATTGCCAGAGATTGCGAGGAGGGTTCCATGTTGCCACAAAGCTTAAGTAAACTAACAACGATCACTACATACAAGCCCTTCCAAGTTCCCAACATATGAAATGTTATGAATACATTTATATTTGTAGATGTCCCATCATGGGCTAATTAGATAGTAAATGACAAATAAATGAGCAATGTAGATAATTTATCTTGATTCTGGCTTCTTTCTCTCGTATCTAAATATGAGTTCAGCCTATTAGATGTACTTTGATGTATTTTACGAATCATAACCATCAGTTATTTTTTTATTTATTAACTTGATCTTATGATTTGCATTTATAAAATTATTATTGCGGATGACAATGGGTCGATTCATTGGGTATTTGAACCCAATTGTCATGACTCATACGTGTATCAGGTTGGATACCAATGAACTCATAAACGCTCTTAATAATATTTGATTTGAATTGACTCCAATTTGGATCAACCCATTCGAGTTGGACTCAAATGGGTCTATTTAGATCTATATAATTATATACGTGGGGAAAAAAAAAACAATATCAATCATCTCATTATTCGCCTTCAACCACTTCGCAACTTAAATATTTGTGTTTCCACATTTATGTTTGTTTTAGAAAAAAATGAAGTAAAAAAAAACCACATTAGAGTTTGGTATCATTTTTTTTATACCCAATATAATGGGTATAATTTAGCACAAGCTCAAAGGTTGTGTATGCCCTACCCAAACTTGATTTGATCCGTAATAAATTAGATTGAAAATACACAAATTGTAGTTCTTTTTGTCATCACCAGAATTGAAAATCTTGATTCATTAGAAAATTAGAATATAATATGTTACACGGTATAATTAATAAAAAAACCCGTTGGACATACGCCATGGCTGCTGGCAACTTGGGATGTGGCGCCACAAAGAGCATATATTGCCTATTCTGCTCTTACCAAGCATAAGACAAATGGAGATGCTTAGCATAGAATAAGGCACACAGCCGGATAGGCATAAAGCTGGTTGCTGTTTTGTCCTTTTGGTTTGTCCCTAATTAATTATTCTGCTTATCAATATCTGCATGTCGCTATTGCTTGGCGAGTCATTGTCAGTTTTGACAATTTGTTATTTCCATTTTGTTTAAGCTTGTAAGCCGGAGAGGAGAAAGAGCTTTCATGAAAGGATGGCCACCAAGACTAAGTAGTTTTTTTACCCCCGGAACCTTTTGTTGATGTCATGACATTTGGTTAAAACTACAGACTTGAAAGAGAACGAGTGGTGCAGAAAGGATCAAACAAAACAGAGTATATACAAGACATGCAATCGAGGCAAATGAACATTCTTTTTAATTCGTGCGGTTAGACAGTTTTATATACTTGGCCTTTGGGTCATTTCTTCTGTTAAGACAAGACTATACTATCCATGAAAACGATTCCATGATTGTTAACTTCCCAGTTGCTGGATAGCCATGGGAAGGGAAGTATGCAGTTCCAAAAAGAAAGCTTTGATTAATTGGGAACTTTTGTTTAATTGAAGTTGATGAGCAATCTATTGCTGTCTTGTTGTTGTGATGGTAGCAGAATCTTCCATATTGCCCTTTTTTTCTAGGATGGCAATTTCGACCTGATCCGTTTTACACGACCTGTTTGGCCTGTTTTGAGGCGGGGCAGACCGAACATGGGTATTCTCATCGACCCGACCTGTCCTGACCCGCCCCATTCTCGACCTGTTCTTGCCTAAATTACATGTAATCTTAGTCAAATTACTAAGAATTTTTCTTTTATTACATCATAATTTAGCTATAATAAAGTTGTAAATTAGTGAAAACCTCAATTTCTCTAATAAGTTAACTATATTTATCATAATATTGTTTGTTTCTTTGGTCTTATAATAAAAATAACAAATAGTTCTAATGCTTTTCATATAAATTGCATACACATTGGGTCGACCAATCCCGACCTACAACCCGTGATAAATTACCGTATCTGGACCCGACCTGCCACAAGACGAGTATGGGTAAAAAAAATCCACCCGGACTTGCCCATTGCCATTTTCCCCCTTTCAAAGACTGTCGTCCATATCCACCGCACCTACTATTATGCAGAGTAGGTGGCATGCAGGAGCCTGCGTTTAGAATGTCACCTCCGGTCTCTCTGATGCAATCTTTGCTAGAGGAATTGGTGATGAGAGATTGAAGATGGATTCGTGAAGAATTTCATTGAGGAAGAAGAGGAACTGAAGTTTTGTACACGGGCTTTATAGTCCTTATTGTATTTACCTAAACTTGTAACTAATTACCATAGAGTGTCTATTGTTTATTTGTTTTACATTCTGTCAACTAATAAGTCATACACTCTAATATCCTATAGCAAGCTAAATCTACAAAATACTATAAGCCAATGTGAAAAAAGCTGTTTTGCCACGTCAGCACCTCCTGCACAGTCTGCACATTGCGGATGGGTTTTTCAGTCATTCTCATATTTTCACTTTCTCTCTCAACCGTCCAAGAAATTCTGGCCCTCCTGTCTCGCCTTCTGTCTTCTGAACCCGCCCGGAAAAAATCCCCGGCGCAGCGGCGCTCCCCTTTACCCTTTCCTTTCCCTCACCCTTTTTTATCCCTTCTTTCAATACCGCCACCACTTCGTCCCCACCTTTAATCTACTCCAATGCCGCACCGTTGAAACTCTGCATATTGATTAATTGATATATTATGAAATCTGGGTGAAAAAGGCTCATCCGCCGGTTGCATGGAGGTGAGAAATCTGAGTTTTGAAAAGAAAAGAAGAAAATGAAATATACAGCTAGCTTCCTCCGCGTTGTTGAAGAGATAGAGAGAGAAAGAGAGGGAGGGGGTGAGAAATTGTCGTTGAAGAAGGAACTGATTGTTGGACAGTGGTCAGTGGTGGTGGTGAACGAGAGAGAAGACAAGAGATGAGAGAAAAATAACGGATAAAAAAAATAAAAAGATAAATGTAATAAATATTGAGAGAAGTTAACTTTTTGAAGTGATATTGATAAAAGTGAACTATAAAACTTTCTCCATTATTTTATCACTCTATTTATAGGTTAGTATTTAATAATTCTATTTAGAGGTGACAAATTGATTGGATTGGTGATTCATGGGTCAAGAATTAGTAGATTGCATTAATTGGATGAGTGAATTATCCATGAATCCAAATGATATCCTTAACTTTGGACCAAAATATAAAATGTAAAAAGTTTAGGTACTAAAATTTCACAATGAAAATTTTGTGTACCAAAAGGTAATTTTCCAATAATATTTTTGGTACAAAAAATTAAATTTTAGGTACCAAAATGTAAAAAATAAAAATTATATGGATTCATGGATCAAATAGATTGGATTTAAATGGATTGGATTAGTTGGATATTTTTAATGGATTCATGGATTGGATTAGTGGATTGGATTGAGAATTGTCACCTCTAATTCTAATATTCTATTACATAACGAACTAAAATATTATATATTGTATTTTGGTGTTTGATTCTTGCTTTGTACATCCTGCAATCTAGACGTTTTGTTGTTTCATTTTATGTTAAATCTATATTATTTGGGATTTTGTTGAATTCCATTACATGTTCATCGTAGATATAGAGTCAAATTTTTGTTGCAAGATGATACTGGAGAAACTGGGTTTGCCATCTTAGAGCATGAGGATATATATGCATTTTTTCGGAGTAATGGCTTATGTGTATTCCAATCAAACCAGAGGAACAAATAACCTATTTCGCCTCATATTCTATACATCGTTAACATGACACTGAAACTAAATATTAAACTACCTCAATTCAAAATTTTTTTTTTTTTTGGTCATTCCTCAGTTTGATTTCTTGAATTCACTTAGGATAGGTGATGAACATTTTAGTGGCACATCACTTCAGTTGGCCTAAAGTTACCAGATTAATATGTTAGTGTAAAACTAACTTATTTCTAAAATTTGATTGCAACAATCCAAGTCCTGTAAATCTTGGAGGGACTACTTTAATAGGGTTGAAAAGGAAGCATGTCTTAACGAGGAGAGGTAACTTTGTGTAGTTAAGGGCGCAATGTGAAGCTTTTGTTTAATAGTTTGCTTTTGTCTATGGGATGTTAAGAATTATCTTTTTATTCAGGTCCATATTAAACGTCTATTTCTAGGTTGTCCACCTTGTGGATTGTCCTCTATAGTTCAATTTGAATCGTGGATAATATGCAGGTTGTTTGCCTGCAATCTTTTCTCATCCGTTAGATACTTTTTCCCCTATGAATTCTCTTTGTTTCTCAAGTTTGGGGCAATTTCACGTTCAGTCCACTATGAGTCTATGACTGTAGGTGCTGGCAAGGCTTGCTGCATTTTTTAATAGTTCGATAGTTGGCGTTATTGATGAAAAACTACTGCCAAGGTTTTGCTGCATTTTTTTAGATAATATGATTATTGGTTTTTGTTGTCTTTTTTATAATTAGTTGTATTATATCATCCAAAAACTATACCACTGGACTCTTAGCAGCACCCTTCATAAAATAGGTAGAGTTGAACTCAAGTATAAGAAAATCAAAATGGATAAAAGAAAAATTGTAGAAGTAGCTACAACCAAGAGATGAGCGGAAATGGAACTTATGGATTACAAATGAGCTTTGCTATAATTTAATCATTTTCATTCAACTTTTTCATCAAGCATTTCTTAGTTACTCTTACTTTTACATCGTATTCACAACTACACTAGTTTTTTTCTGAAAATGCGCTTATGTGATGCTATTTGAGTTTCTTTTACGAATAGAATCTCATAAGCTCAAATTTTGGTTAACCTGAACGATTAGATGCAGATTATGTAGGGGTGGCAATACGGTCCAGTCCGGTTAAATTGGCCCGAATTGATCCGGTCCAGTCCGGTATTTTTGGAAATATGAGGACCAAAGCTTGGATTGGGTACAGTCCGGTTTTGACCCGGTCCGGTCTCAATCCGGTTTTGACCTGTTTTGACCCGTTTTGACCATGTTGCAAAAAATTCAGCAGCATATACCCATTGTCCTGGAATCCCTAAATAC